CGGCGAAGAAGGCATCAATGACCTCGCACTGTTCGCGCGGGAGAGGCCATTGCCTCGTGACACAATACTTTGTGCCGGGCACGAGATCAATCTCGTGCCGTACGCCTCGATCCGGTGGGAGTTGGGTCGGTGGGTGTTTATTCACCACGTCCGCATACTCCGTCACCAAAGGATACACCGGATCCTTGGGGTTCTTGAGAATCTCAGAACCCAAGCGCGCCTGACGCTGCTTGTTCATGTCTTCCAGGACGTTCTCGTCCAAGACAGAGGAGGAGTTCAGCTCCTCCTGAGTGGTCTCAGGTCTTATGAGTACCATCTCAGCGATCTCTCCAGCCTTGAGGTTGGCCAGGAAAGACTCAGCCGTCATTTCCTCGAGGTTCAGTATCTCTGCAACCTCTGGCAACTGTTCCAAGTGGACACCAGATGCCTTGACGGGTAAACCCGTCTCGCTATCGAAGATGTGATAGCACTCTTCCACCGGCCTTGTCGGAGGAGCCCGGGCCCTGGACTCCGAGTCGCTTGAAGCGACGTCGATCGGAACGAAGTTCGGATCCGACTTGAGGCGGCGGCGGCGTCTTTGTCGACGGCGTCTGTGACGGGGAGCTTTGCTGCCCACGTCTAGGGATGTCGTCGCTACGACATCCGAGGCACTCGTGGCCTCGTGTGATACTGTTGTACCCACACAGGAAGCGTGTTCAACGCCTTCCTCTTCAGTTAAGGTCTGGGCGACCGCGTGTGGCACTGTGTTACCCACACAGGAAGCGTATCCGACGTCTTCCTCTTCAGTTATGGTCTGGGCGACCGTGAGTGGAACTCTGTTACCCACTCTGAACGCGCTGTTCTCAGTGTTCATGACAGCTGCAGCTGTCTGCGGAGCTAAGTTACCCGCCCGTGGACCTAAGTTACCCACTTGGCCGACGCCTCTTCTGGGCGCGGCCACCATCAAAACATCCGCGGAGTCGTCATATACGTCGACGACTCCCAAGCATCTGCCGGATGCTTTGGTACCCTGGCAGCCCTCGCGGGCGCCCCGGGTCCTGACAGAGGTGGGAACATGACTCACCAATGCTCTGTCGGACTGCGCAGGGCGGCTGGCACCGATTGCCTTGCCTCGCCAGTCGATCCAGGGCTCGTGCTTCTCAAGCCAGGGCATGCCCAGGATCATATCATATGGATCCATATCGAGAACAGTGATCTGTTCGAGGCTGTCAAAGTCTTCAAACTTGACAGCCAGATCCACTTGGACGTTGGGGACAGTGACGACCTTCCCGTCGGCCAGTCGCACTGACACCGTCCCGTTGCCCTTGCTTTCTCGCAAAGCTTCGGACAACTTGTTGCTGTTACGAGCAACCGTCTGGCGGCGTGCGAAATTCTTCGACGCCCCAGAGTCAATCAAGATTCTAAAGGGGTGATCGTACCCCCGTACACATCCGTGTACTACGAGCAACCCGCCGCTGCTCTTCGCCGATTCGAGAGTGCGAAGACTCTCAGGGGCTAAGTCCCCGTGGTACGCGCCACCCGCGCACCCATCACGAAGACTTAGTTCTTCCCCAGTAGGGCGCCCCGCCCCTACTGGTTCCCTGCGTTCCCCTGTCCCCGGGATCCTGGCTTCTGCCAGCGACCCTTGAGGACGGGCTTGGGGAAGGACCGTCTGCGGAGTCTTTCCGCGGGACAGTCGCGCTTGAAGTGGCCCATCTTCCCACAGCCGAAGCAGCGGATGTCACGCTGTTCGGCGGACCCGAGTTCCATGGGAACTGGTCCGTTGGGGCTTGTTCGACCGGGAGCCGACAAGGAACTCCCAGGCCACGCTGAGGCCGGCGTACGCGCCTGGCGATGGCTGTATTCTTCTTGAAGAGCTACTTGAATCGCCTCTTCAAGGGTGCTTGCCTGCACCCGGAACAGCTGAGTGCGTGCGGGGCCCACTCGAAGGCCGTCCATGAACACAGTCATCTTGATGTGTTCATTGAGTGGGTTTCCCACTAGGGACGCCGTGAGCTCCCGTATCTCTTGCACATACTCGTGCAGTTCGCGTCTTCCTTGTTTACACGCGAGGAAGCGCGAACGCTGGCGGTACTCGTAGTTCGCCGGGAGGAACGCGGCTCGGAGCTGTTCGCACAGCTGAGCCCAGGATGTGAAACATCCAGGGGATGTCGCTTCCCGAGTGTACACCCAACTCTTAGCACGACCGCTAAGGTTGGAGAGTGCAAAAGCAACACGCAGTTGCTCGGTCGAGATCAGAGCCGCGTCCATCGCGAGCTCTACTTCTCGGACCCAGAAGTGAAGGTTCTCGCCTTCCTTCCCTTCATACGGCTTTACCTTCAGCCGTATTGGCTTCGGGTGAGGCGGGGTTTGCTCCCGCCGCCGGGAGCCTGCAGGTTCTCCCGCACATGCGCGATGAGGCCCTGCTCGTACGCGTCGAATGCATTGACGCGCTCGAGCTGCTCAGCCGGTGTTGATACCCAGCAGGGCTCTGCAGGGGCCTCCATCCCCGAA